AAGCCAGCCACACACACACATGCACGCGAACGCACACAAAAAAGTCTTCCCCTGTAGAGGTGGTCAGCTAACTAGATGTTTGTTAAATTCTGACAAGGCATTCTGTGTTCATCTGGGACTCTGTCACAGTAACCAGAACACACAAAGATGATTTTATATCCACCTGCCAAGATCATTAAAATATTAAATCCAGATTAATCACAGCTACAATTTTATCCGTTAGAATCCAATCATCTTGCCCTCTGTTAATGAAGAATAATTTAAAATAAAAACACAAAAGCAGCAGCCAACCTGACGAATGTGCATAGTCAACTGATGCTGGGTAGTGCAAATCTTTTCACACAGGGGGCAGTTATAGGAAGACCTCTCCTCTTTCGTTTCCTAAAAAGAGAGATTAAAAGGAAGGAGAAATGTCAAATCACAGTAAACTAGTGTTTTTTTATTTACGTAATAAACATCTGAGTCTCAAGAGCTATGTCTAAGCAGCTGAGGGCAACTCTGTGACCACTTTGGAGCTTTTCTAGGTGTGAGGCTGGGCAAGTCACTGTCCTGTGTGCCCCCAGTTTCCTGGCTTGTAGCTTGGGAAAAATAATAGCATTTACCACACTGTGCTGTGATGCAGATTAAATTAACACATGTAAAGCACTAGAACAGTGCTTGGTATATAGTAAGTGCTCAATAAATATTAGCATTCTCATTACACAGACATCACTTAATCATCAGTGACGGTGAAACATGAAGCATCAAGTCACAGCAGAGCCAGAAAAGGAATAAATTTCTCCCCAAGTCTGGCCCAGGCTTCAGGCAGTATTTTCTGTCAGGTGTCCAGGCCTGCAGGAATACATGCGAGGTACTGAAGATCTTAGAAAAACCCACCCCACCAATGGCAGGAGCCCTCTGTGCCCAGCTGTGCACCCAACAGGCAGAACATAGTTCTTTTGCCCACTGCTAGCATATGCTTGATGATATTCGTAAATAAGAAATAAGAATAAGAATGCTGTCCCGGTCAAAATTTTGATAGGAATGATGACCCGAAGTGAGGACTTCCACAGAGGGTGACAATGAAGCAGCTCACTACTCAGCAATGTGGCTCATTTTACGTTCCTGCGAAACAGACAAGACGAGCTTCCTTCACACCATACATTTCACCTTCCTAAGGAGAAGACCAGCCTCCTTCACTAACCCTCTGTT